TGTTTAATTGTAGGCAGGGACATTACTGGATATTCTTGTTTTATTGCTACAGAAGAATATTTATTTTATTATTTTACATTTACATTTTTTCCCCCCTGGGGACCCTGTGACACCCCATTGAAAAGCCGTAGGCTCTGGATCTCTTAAGATCTCACTGTTGGGTTTGTAAGGCCATGTTACTCCTAAATTTCTATCTCATTCAAAGAGAAGATATAAAACAAAGTTCTAAGCTATTTGACCTTAGTGTTCTCCTTTTTTAAAAAGAATCGATAAGAGAATCGATAAGAGAATCGATAAAGAATCGAATCGTTAAACAGAATCGAAAATGGAATCGGAATCGTGAAAATCTTATCAATACCCATCCCTAATTCTGACATTTTAAATGTTTTAGCTCTGACGTTTTTAGATGTTTCTGCATCTGATTTTTTTATATGTATAAACTTATTTTGTGGAATTTCTTGTTTGTTTTATTAGTAAACTTACTTTTGGCTTTCTCAGCTTATACGCTCCTGGTTAAATAAAGGTTCAACTATAAGAATGTATTATTCCCTTTTCCATGCCACACATCTACATTAAGTTTTATTAAATTAGTTTGTGCACGAACTTGCTAATAGACAAAAACATCCAAGGTGTACATATCAATTTGTGTGCAGGGTTCACTTCATATTAAAAAATAATAACTAATTCAGTGTATAACTAATATTTGATGAGTGGATTCTCAAATGTGTCAGACCTTGAGGCAATAAGAGCAGCAAATGCAGAGAAATAGCAAAAACGTCATTAAAAAAAAAAATCAATAACAACATTACTGCTTTTGCAACAAGATACAGATAAAAAACAAAAATAAAGATAAACATACCTTAGTGAAGAAAGGAGTGATGAAAACAAAGAAGACATCATATACAAGCAGGAGGCTCAGCAGAATCACACAGATCTTCGAGACATTGGAAAGAAAAGATTATCACCAACTACATGGCTCAAAAATCCATGTGAGGAAATCTGCTAGAAGTTTTGTGAGTGTGATTATAACATTTTTAATCAAATATCAAAGACTGGAAAAAACAAAAATTCTTAGGAATGGAGCACTGCCTGACATTCTTACAGGAAGTGTTGATAAATATGAACAAATATATTTGTATAAATAGAACAACTACAGTGCAAGTATTCATTGTACAAGAAAAAATACCTTGAAATTGGACAGTGAAATTGTCTTCATGAAGTTGAGGCAGAAAGCAATGCCAAGGAGGTCCTGCAGAATCCAGATCCATCTGCAAGACATAAAGACCTCTTTGACTTTAGGGTTTTCATTACTTTAAATGTAGCTATTTCAGGATAAACTGTCTCATAAACATTGTTACAATTTTATGGGTAATTTTAACCTACAGTGTTGTAGAAATTCACCACCAAAATAATTCCCTGCCACAGTGGTGTAACCATGTCTGAAAACTGACAGGACTATGAATGTGTACCTGTCTTCATTTCTGTACACTCCCCAGACCACAGAAATGCTAATGCACACAGCAGCCAACAAGAGAGACCTCACTGAAAAGTTCCAATTCCGGACAGAGAACCTGGAAAAAGACGCAGAGCCACATTTAGGTAGAAACAAAGAAACAAAAACAAAACAAGTAAAATTCTTGCACACATTCACCGAGACGCTGATGTTTGTTTGAAGCTTTTCAAGCTTTAAACCACTGGTCTTTTTAATATAAAAACAGTAAAAAAAAAGTTTTTTAAATGTTAGTAACACATCAAAAATCAGACCTTTACTATCCATGAATCACTTGGAACTTGCAGTACTTAATTTCCCCCTTCTGTCTAGATTAGTTTACCTCACCATTTGTGTAAACCACTCACTCAACGACAGCATCCCCCCTCTGTGACTTCCGGAGAAATTCAGAATTCATTTTTAACTTTTACATGGCTAAGCTCCTCATTTTGCTGACCTACCGTACATTCAACCAATTTGCTATCCGTTAATTTTTATCTTTTCCTCACTTTAACGCAGTAATTTCCCCAGGTTTTTCCAATACAAAAAAAATAATATCTCACTCAAAATTAGTCGCCAGGAACTAGTCAATAGTAAAAACTCTCTCTAAAGGTCTGATATCTATTTAATGTTTTAACTACAATGATGTGGTGTATATTTAATGTGGTTCCAAAGTCTGAGGCTCATACCTTAAAGTGCCGCAACCGATTTTGTCCATCACTGCATCAAAACAGCTATAGAGCGCAGAGGCAGATGCCAGGCAGAAGATAACAATAATGACGTAAACTGGAGAAAAATAAATAAATAGATCATATCACCAAAACTCGAGGTAAAATTACTCTGTTAAACAACCAGGAACTGATTTAAAAAAAAAAACAACAACAAAACCCTAACCAAGAACTTTGTAGAAGAAGTACATGAGGACAAGCATCCCGCACATCAAGGCAACAAAGATAACCACTTTGAGAGGAGAGTACAGTGAAAGCTCTCCACTGTCTGCTTTGCTTTCTCCGCCTCCTCCTCCACCTCCTCCTCCAGATGCACCGCTATTCAACCGTTCCCTGAAACACACAAACAAAAAAAAGAAGAAACAAAACAACATCAGGTAGAATGAAATGTGAAGTAATGCAATACATATGATCTCAGCAAGAGTACATTTAAATGTCACTTGCTCACATTATTATCACCAATTGACATTACACAGTTAATGATATTTTGACTGCATATAAAAAAAAATATATAAATCATTGTGTTTTCTGCTGTTTGGTTTATTTTTAATGAGACATCATTACAGACACGAGTTTTCAGCTCACAGCTGTATAATACTGAAAAATCTCACCTCTCACACGCCCCGCTCCAGTAGCCGCCCAAAACAACTGTGCCAATGGAAATCAGCAGGATGACTGCAATGCTTGGATCGATCTTTGTGGAAGGTGGAGCATACAGCTTCACCTGCATCTCATTCCCGAAGACCTGAGGATGCATGCAAAGAGTTAAAAATGATCATCAGATTCAAACAAGACATATTAAAGGATTTATTAAAAATAAAAAGTTCTCTGACCTGCCAAGCTTCCAGGAAATCCCTGTGCCTCATGAGAGCGAGAGAAATATTGACCTTTGCGTACTCCGACTCGTTGGCTGATGGGATTTTCTGAAGACATTTTTATAAATATTATCAGTGATTTGGGAATGTTTCAAGTATAATAGAGCAACAATAAAACAAACAAAAAACACTTCGAGATGAGACTTTTTTTTAAAATAAATTGACTCTAGATCAATTAAACTGAATAGAATTTAAGTTTTTGTGAGGTGGTAGAAGTATCAGTTTTACCGCTTGCTTTTGTTGTGAACATGTTCGTGCAGGGACAGAAGTACAGGGCAGATGTGTATTAGTGGTCTTGAGACTCAATGCACTCTTTATGATTTGGTGGATTGGCGATCACCGATCACAGGATGCAACACTGGCGTATATTTTTCAATAAAGCAATACTGGGTAAGCTTACAGTTTACTTCTTCTGTTACTAGTCACCTTGGACATTTGCAAGAGGATCTAAACATAAATATACTGTTGCCGCACAGCAAGAAGGTCCTGAGTTCAATTCCACCATCAGGCCGGGGTCTTTCTGTGTGGAGTTTGCATGTTCTCCCCGCAAACACAGGGAGAACATGCAAATATGAAAGCATTATAAGGTATTTAGTAAAGGAGACAGGGCTGTTCTTCTTGTTTTTACATATTTTAAATTTGTATGGGTGCAAACTTGGGCAGGTCCTGCGTGTGAAAGGGATTAGATCTCACTGGGACTTCCTGATTAAATGAATGTTAATAAAATTTGACTTCAGTTAAATTTAAATGAACAACACATGTATGCTCTTGGGTGTCGGCCGTGTAACAGCAACTCTAACATGAGGTATCTGTTTGTGAAGACATAAAGCAGATTCATGTCATCATTTAAAAGTAATCAATAAAATTTCAAATTGTCTAGTTAACAGATGAATAATTTACAATGACACCAAACTATTTCACAAGGCAATAAAACATTTTTCGATGGAAATCCCCACAGAAACACCACATCTGTATCATTTCCTGAATCACGCCTTTGTCTATTGCACTTCTCTGATCACCCAAAAGCAGCAAAGAGGAAATGATAACTAACCATAAAAAAAAATTAAAGGAAGATCTCAAATCAGCTTAATCAAGCTAACATCTTACCAGCGTTTTATTGCTGGCAATGAGCAAAGCCATCGCTCCAAGTCCCTGAGCGATAAGAGCCTTCTGGCTGAAATCACAGTTGCCTCTCATCACCACCAGAGCCTTGCCCTTTACTGAAGATGCATTGATCCCTGAGCTGTCACACAGCAGAGAGGAAGTCATATTCACCAACTGGTACTCCGTCTGGAAAAGTCCGTTAACACTTACAGTAAGACAGTGTTTGGAAAGGTGTCACAACCAAAAGAGCTGTAAAATAGAAAAACTTACTGCAGAATTCAGTGACTGTGCCAGCGGGGTCCAAGAGTGATTGTGAACAATGCAGAACTCCCTCTCAGTATCTCCATTTGAAATATGCGAGATCGCTTCCTGGCCATTTATCTATTGAGAAAGAAATAGTACCCCTTTGATACACAACATATGGAAAATATCTGAACCCAGCCCTGCTTTGACAGTAAAATGTTATCTATGTTCAACACACTTAAGGCTCATTGAATACCTTGTCATAAATCATTCACACTGAGCCAAGGGACAAATACAAATAAATACAAAATATGGTATAAAATGGTATCAAAATCACATTATGCTCTGAACTATTCATAAGTGCAATAATCAATTTTTTATAAAGAGTACTTCAAGCATTTGCCCACACAGATGCATTTGGAGAGTTAAGAACAACATATTTTTTTCCCCAGCTAATGGATCTTGTTCATCCCTTTTCCATTTCCGAACTAACAAAAACAAAACCCATCAACGCTTACATTATCTGTGTTGAGATCTACAACCTACTAGATGATACTATAAATCTGCTAATGCTTATCGGATTAGTTTATGCTACAGCATCCTATTAATGAAATAGGATAATTAATTAAAAGTAACTAGGTTAATTTAAATAAATTCCAACACTATCACCATCAAATCTCAACAACAACAGCCCAACAGCCCATGTATGTTAGGATATACAAATATTTTAATATTATATAGGACACATGACTGAAGGAAAACTTGCCAGGTTTTCTTGTAAATCTGCCACTTTTCCTCTTATAAAGTTACCAGTTTAATTCTCATATTTTCTGTTATCCCCCCCCCACACACACACACAAAATTTCTGTCCTTTTTCCCATAAATTTGACATTTATCAGAAAGTTTTTTCCTCATACATTTTACATT